TTTCTGTCAATCGGTATATAAATACACTTTTTAAATATATATTTTATACATATATCTCTATTTTTTATCATCGTCTCTTATCAAACTCGAGACGATTCTTCCTTTAATTTTCACGCACGAATAAAAAAATCATTTCTCTTCTCATTTTATTTTATTCAGATATATAAAAATTGTGTTGGAATAAATAAATGAATATTAATAAAAATTAATAAAAACAACATAAAAAATATTTATTTATAATATATAATGTAATGTTATATAATTATATAATATAATAATATATAATGTATAAAGAAATATTTCTGAAATATTAAAAATTTTTAAAAAACAATTTTAATTATTTTAAAAGTATTTTTAATATTTTAATAAATATTAAATATTTTATTATTAAAATATTAAAAATTTTAAATATTTTAATAATATTAAAAATACTTTTAAATTAATTAAAAGTATTTAAATTGTTTTTAAAGAAATATTACAAAATGTGAAAAAAATTCTTTGCGGAAAAGTAAAACAATTTGAAGAAAAGGAAAAAAGACGTTAAATAGTGAAAAGTAAGAGAAAGAGAGAGAAAAATGCTTAAATGTAAAATCTATAATTTAGACAAATTATTTATTAACTATAGACTACAATGTATGCTATATGCGCTTTTTATTATTCTCAATAATACTCTATAGGACGCTTTTCAGAAGCAATGCTTTAATTTTATGCCCTCGCGCATGTTTCTCATTGTATTATTACTGGACAAATCCATTTTAATTATAGAAATTCTATAAATGACGGCAATTGATTTATTTCTGCGATATTATAATTACTTCCGGTAAAACGAAAATTTCATACTAAATAAACATCTACTTAAAAAATATAAAATTTCAACAATGTAATTTTTTATGAATAATAAACATTTTTAAATAATAATAATAATAAAAATATTTATAGTAAATTATTACTATTATTATAATAGTAATTCTTATTTAATTTTCAAATATTAACGATTAAATAATAATTAATTTTTTTTTATTTTTATTTATTTCACGAACAGGTTGAAAGCTTTTAAATTCAGAAATTAAATAACAATAGTAATAATAGTAAAATAATAATAATAATAAGCAATAATAGTAGTAATAATAAAAAAAGTATCGCAATAAAAAATTTTTTGCATCGAGAAATATTTGCAAGTCAAGTAGAATTCGATCTTGAATGGATACAAGGTAAAGATAAAATAGGGGCGTGTTTTTGAAGATATTATATAACAATCACGTGAAATCTAATGCTTTTAAAAATTTTCTTCTTCATAAAAATACATACAAAAAATTTATTGAAAAAATTTATATAAAGAAAAATTAATTTTTACAAATATTCATTTTCGATCAAACTTTTTGAATATATTTTTGATTGAAAAGAATGTTAACAAATATTTTTTTTGTTTTTTAGATAAATAAACATGATTTTATGTTTATATATAATTAATTTTTTTATAAAAAAATGTCAAAAAAAAAAAATACCTAATTGTGGTAGACAAATAATTTATTTTAAAAAAATGTTCTGAATTATAAAGAAAAGAATAATTATAAGAAACAGTTTATTTATTAAATAAAAATAATAATTTTATAATTTATAATGAATTGAATAATAAGTTCTTAGATTTTCCTTTTTCTTTTGGTTTAGAAACGAGATAATTTTCACTGTCAGGATATATATTAAACAAAGACTTACTTTGTCTTTATATATAAATTATCGTCATGCGCTTTTATGACGTTATTTACTCTGACAGTGACAAATATTTTCCCGCCAGAGAGAAAAAAAAATTTCAAAGAGCTTAACTTTCTCGCGAAAATTGAAAGCAAAATTGAAAAATGTATTTATTTTTTTTTCGAATATCGTTATAGAAATTAATTAATTTTTCTTTTACAATAGTAAATTCATCTATAAAGATAAACTAAACGAGATTAAGTACAGTTATTATTTTTTTTATAGCAGAGAGAGATAATAATGTTCAAATAAAGAAATCACATCGACAAAAACCAATATTGAAATAAAGTATTATATATAACTACTTTTGACTGTCTTCCGACTTGATTAAATTTAGATTCCTTTTACTTTTTGAGGTAACTAAAAAAACACGTGCGGCAATACTATATTTTATTATGTGAGTCAACGTCCATTCACTTCTAACTATCAAAGACAGCGGGTCGCCATTTGTGATAAAAATACTTTGAAATAAACAGAAACTGTTCCTTAGAATATGGAAATTTTTAGTGGATTTTGGGTTTTCTTTATGGGTGTGAATTTGGTTTTCTTGTTTATAGTTTAGTGTTAACAACAATTATTGTCTGTAAAGTAACTACAACTGGTTCGGTTTTGTTAGACTATTGGAATCATCTTCTAATAGTACTTCCTTAAATCTGTAGAATCTTTGTAGATATTTTTCTTTTTGTAAAAGAAGTATAGCTTTAGGTAAGTTTTGTCATCTGAATATTGGTTCAATAAAATCCGGTGCAAATTTTGAAATACCGTATCTTCAGGCATCATTTTGATTCTGATTTTACTTCCGTTATTAATATCGATAGCACTTTGACCATTGTTGTTAAACGTCCGTCATTAGAATCGATACTAATTCGGCAAACGTTAATAGACGTCTGTTAGTACTATCAAATGACAATTCTGCTATTACTGATCCTCCTTGATACAAAAAATAGTATTCCTGCCGTTATTAGCAAACATCCGTTATTAAAATCAATACTAATTCGGCAAATATTAATAAACATCCGTTAGCACCATTAGATAACAATTCTGCTATTGTTGGTCTTTGCAGATTCCACAAAAACTGTCAATTCTTTCGTTGTTGACAAATTCTGCTATTGTTGGTCTTCGAAGATTCCACAAAAGCTACCAATTCATCCATTGTTGTCAAACATTGATAAATAAAATGGAGATTAATACCGCAAATGTCACTAACCATCCGTTAGAATAATTAGATAACAATTCTGCTATTATTGATCTTGATTTTCCTATCTTGATCTTTTCTTAGATTCCTTGGTCCAACTTTGACGTCATTAACATGGTCCACACAATTTCTGCCGGTTGGCAAATATCCGCAACTGAACATTAATGTCGCAAATGTTAATAAACAACTTACTGTTAGAACTATTATAGAAAAAAATTCTGCTATTGTGGGTTTTGTTAGATTCCACGGTCCAATTTTGACGTCATTAAGAAAATGGTCCACTTTACGGATGTTCATCCGTAACTAAAATGTAAACTATAATTCTGCAATTTTGAATAAACGTTCGTTAGTATACAGTATACCATTAGATAGTAATTAAAAATACGTTCAAAATACATTAGATAGTAATTCTAATAGTAGATCTTTGTATATATTCCGGAGAGATGATAGTAATTCTGACATTGTCATTAAACTTCCGAAACTACCGTGTATGAAAGGTTCTAATCCCGCAAGAGTTGATAAACATCCGTAACTATACTATGAATAATAATTCCGCCAATAAACTTTGTTCCTACATTCTCATCACATGAAGCAGTATTTATTTTAAGAACCACTACAGAATCGTCTTTAATGAAAACGACGGTCGTATGAAGATTTCTTTTCATTAAAAGTTGCCAGCTTTCGTACAGTTGACGTGACACTCGGGAACTGATAAAATAAATTATTACTCTCACTACGAAGCATAGAAATGAGATTTCCCTGCAGAATTTCTTTTTATTTTATGTATTGTAAGATCTTAGGAAGTTCATTGATTCTAATTTCAATTCCTGTTTTTGTTGTCTTGCAGCATCTAGAAAGGTCTAATGGTCCTAATTTCTTTCTGTATTGTACTATGTACAATATCTTGAAAGATTTTTTCTTGATTCTAATTTCAATTTGTTCGTTATTGTCCTGCAACATCTAAAGAGGTGCATCGATTCTAATTTCTATTTGTTTATGTTGGAACATTTTAAGAAATTCATTGATTCTGCTCCTTTTGTTTCTTGTATCGCAACATCTTAGGAAGTTGAGTCTAATTCCTATTTTCGTTTTGAAGCATCTAAAAATGCCTTTTGGTTCTAATTTCTTTGTTCCTTGTATAGCAACATCTATTGCAGCATCTAAAAATGTTTTTTGATTCTAATTTCAATTTTTGTTCTACTGCAGCATCTTATGAAGTCTATTGATTCTAATTTCTATTTGCTTCTTGTATTGCAGTACCTAAAGAAGTCGACTGACTCTAATTTCTACTTTTATTTTTTGTCCTCCATCATCTGAAGAAGTCGACTCTAATTCCTATTTTTATTTGTCGTCTTGCAAAGTCTAAACACGTCCATTGGATTTCTAACTATTTTAATTTGAATTCCTATAAATCTGCCTCATTATCTCATCTAAAGAAGTCTATTAAAGTGTATTCTGTACTCAGAACCACAATTCCCACATTATCTTCTAAACAAATATCCGTAAAACCCACTTCACTTTTACAGTTCCCTATTACATGGAAAATAATCTAACAAATTTCGTATACAGAAGTGTAAATCTAATTATAATATTGCGTAATAGCAAACAACACGAACTTAGATTGTAAATTCTCAAAGAAATCTGAAGCATATTCTTATCTCCTAATAAAGGTTATTACCCTTCGTGCCACCAATCTTCGTGCCTACCAATATTTGAGTAACACACTCCGAATTATATAAAGAAAAACTAACATATAGTATTTGTCATATCAAGATTAGTTATTCCTATAATAAATCTTCCGCTTCAACCAAAAGCCTATTCGAAACTTTTAAGCACTTTTCGGATTTTTCTTCCAGTTTGAATCCTTCCACATACTAAAACTACAGAATCAAAACTTAAAGTTTGTATCTTTTCTTTCTTCTTTCTTTTGTTTAAATGATCTCTGGTCCCTTTGGTGGGACAAAACGAAAGTTTGTAATTCAAAAATAAAAATTCTAATATTAAAAAGAAGTGCATCAGACATATAATTTAAAGAATAATATTCACAACTCACTCTTTTGATTACGATGAAAATTCTTGCCTCCATTGGATGAATTCTTGACGATTAATTTGTACTCCCCTTTTCTATCTCTATCGCTCTTGAACTTGATGTTGATTCCATTATCGTGATCTTTATCCTGATGCTGCATGTTACCCAAGTAAATATCTATAGCCTCAGGCTATCTTTCAACGAAAGAAAATAAAAAAAAACAAAAATCACTTTTTTTTATCCTCTATTGCACGGCAGCAATCCGGTACAACGATCTTCGTATACCGTTTTTCTTTATCGCGCACACTGCATTCCAGAGTAAATAAAAAAGAAATTAATAAAAAAAAAAATAATGTTGATGAAGAATGCTACAAGTTATTTGACAGAGAAACAAGGAAACAAATAAAAAATAATAATAAAATAAAATATGTAGAAATTATAATCGACTAGATGTTTCTTCTTCTTTCTCTTTCTCTTTCTTTCTCCTCTAGATGTGTCAATGTTGGAAATATTTAAATTCGGAAGTTATTTCTTCCTCGTTTCCACTTTCTGACGATTGCATAGATTCCAATGTTCCACTGCCTGTGGATGAACTTCTCCAATGAGAAGTGCTCCCAATATCCCCTTGGTCAACTGATTTCTGTGATCCGTACATAGACCTTTTTGCAGTTAACAAATCCGTTTTACAGTAGAGGATTTTTTCTCTCTCACTCTCGGTTTCTTTTTTGGGAGGAACAAATTTTATTCTCTCGCCGAGCGTCAATCTGGGAACAAAAGAAAATTAATATTATTTGTCAATTTTTTTTTTCCAAATAATTTTTAGAAAATAAATAAATATTTGTGACGCGCTCCCAAGAAAGGTACCTAAGAAGCAAATTTCTATTTTTTTACTTAAAAAGTGATAAACAAAACCTAACATTTTTTGCTTCTTAGGTACCTTTCTTAGGAACGAATTACATTTATTTATTTATAAATAAATATTATTCTTTGCATTTTTTACAAAAAAAGTAATTTTTAATCGCGACAAGAATATTATTAGAAAATTCCAAGAAAATATTTCTGCAAAATATTCCAGGAGTATTTGACAAAAATATTCCACAGTAATTTTTTTTAACGGTATTTTATAAGAAATACCCTAGTAATATTTCTACAATCATTGATAAGAATATTCTTTATAATATATTAAAAAAAAATATTCCAATAGCATTTTTAAAAGTATTATTCCAATAATATTCATGAAAAAAATATTCCAATCATATTTACGAAAAATATATTTCAAATAATATTTTTACAAAATATTTTTTTAGAATATTCGTAAAATATATTTGATAAATAAGTTTCAATGTTTAAAAAAATCGATATTCAATTTTAAAGAAAGAAATTACGAGAATATTCCTGAAATATTTATTATAAAGATATTTCCGAAAGAAATTGGTATTTATTTAAATAAAGATATTAACGATTATTTGTGACAATATTCCTAAATAATATTTAGAAAAATATTCCAAGAATATTTAGAAAGATATTTCTGTAATATTTAAAAAATTTTAAAGTTATATCCATAAAAATGTAACAGTAGTATTTCTAAAATCTTCAAGTAATATTCATAAAAATATACAAATAATATTTAGAAAAATGTACACAAAAATATTCCAGTAATATTTCTAAAATCTTCAAGTAATATTCATAAAAATATACAAATAGTATTTAGAAAAATGTACACAAAAATATTCCAGTAATATTTAGAGAAATATTTCTGTAATATTTATAAAATATTCAAGTAATATCCATAAAAAATATTCCATTATAATATTTTTGAAAAATATTCGCCTGATATTTTTATAAAAATGGGTAGAAAAACATTCCTGTAATATTTCTAAAATCTTCAATTAATATTCTTGGAAATATTCCAGTAATATCTAGAGAAATATTTCAGGAATATTTTTGTAAAATATTTAGAAAAATAGTCGAGTAATATTCAGAAAAAAATGATGCAGTAATATTTCTAAAAAATATTCAAGTAATATTCATAAAAATATTCCATTAATATTAATGAAATATTCCTGTAATATTCGTGAAATCTTCAAGTAATATAATAAATTAAATAAATTAAATTCTAAATATTCCAGTAATATTTAGAAAATTTTTCAAGTAATATCCATACAAAAAATATTCAACTAATATTTATTTAAAATGTACGTTTTAATAGGTATTTATAAAAATATGCAGAAAAATATTCCATTAATAAATTTATAAAATCTTTAAGTAATATTCAAAAAAACATTCCAGTAGTATTTTGCAACTATTATCATAATATTTTTTCAATTTTTTTTTTTTTTAATATTCTAAAGGTAATATTTTTAACAAATTTTTTAATAAAATATGGAATATTTTAATAAAAATATTGCAAAAACACTAAAGTAAACGTTTACAAATAAACAAAAGTAGTAAAAATGAACATTAGTAAGAATAATTTCTAATTATTTTAATAATAGTGATAAAAAAATAATTTTTAAGTTAACATTTATAAAAATAATATAAATAATAATAAAAACTAGATTACAAAAAATAAGTAAACTAATAAAGGAAAAGCATGATAATAAAATCGAGATGAAGGAGCATAAACGCGTTAATAAATAAAAGTAGATAATAAAAATAAATTAATACAAAAATAACGGAGTAAAAATTAAAATTTTTAAAAAATACAAAAAAATTTAATCAAGTTATGAAATATTTAAATCTCCCGCTTTCATTTTGGAATCTTTAGGGGTAACAAATCAGAAATTGAATCGTTTTTTTCATAAATTTCCTCCATTTGCTTGTTGAAATTTACCTCAGCAATTTTTTTTTGGCTCTCTGCCAAAAATTTCTCTCTTTTTTTTTTGTCTTTGCACTTTCATTTTTTTGTAACTTTAATATTGAATTTCAATAATATAATAAAAATAAGATTTTTAATTATTTTCTATTTGCCTTCTTTCGTTTCTTTTATTTCTTTCAAAAAAAAAAAGTCAGTAGAATAAAAAGAAGGTACTCACCGTTTTATTTTTGAAAAATTCCACACATTGTTGCGCGTTGCACACTTTATATATATATAAATATAAAAAAAAATTGACAATCGTTTTTCAGTAAATTTTTTTCTTTTTTGAAATATTTATTGTACGATTGTTGTATATATGTATATACAATACTTTAAATTATTTCAGTCGGGAATTAATCATCGATCAGCTGTTTGTGCGAACACTGTATGAGTATATATATATATATTTGTATGTAACGTTGGCGATTTCTCTTTTTATGGTATAATTGAAAAATTTGTGAATATACCCTTGTTTTATTTTCTCTTTTGTGTGTTTGTGTTTTTTTTTAATAATTCACTATATTTTTATATTGAAAGAGGCACTCGAAGTTTGTAAGTATTATAGAAGAATGAAATTTACAAAGACTAGAATTAGAAATTAGAGCACTGTGAAGTGAAAAAAGTGAAAAATATTGTGTGAATTTTTATTTGAAAATATAAAAAGTCACATTTACAAACATGTTTGCTTGAGCGTCGCGCACGAACTGATTTTTGAGAGTCGATCAGCTGTGACAATGAAAGAGAGGCGTCGGTGGCGTGCGACTAGCATTTCTCTCTCTTTTTCTCTCCCCACTTTTTCTCTCCTTCTCACTCTCTCTCTCGCATTTTTTGTGTTTTTTTAATTAGAATACAATTTTAAAACTTTCCATGGCAATCTGGTCCGATATCATCGTATGTTTTAGAAAAGTGTTTTCTAATCTCATTATTCATTGTCAAGGTTCGTTATGTAAATTTTTGTCTTTTATTTTAGGGAAGGATTTTTTGCTTTGAACAAAAATTTTGAAAACAAAAATTCTATACAATTTTTTAATATTTGCTTCATGAAAATTAACACAATTTTTATGTTAATAATAATAATCAACAATAAATAATAATAACAAAATTATAATAATAGTAACTGTATTTAGGCCCCTTTATTAAAAAATAATTAATAAACGGGTTTAATAAAAAACAAATTATAATAAACAAAATAAAATATTATTATTAATTATTTCAAACAAAACAAACAAAAATTAATAGAAGGTAAAAAATAACAACATTATCTGATTAATATTTTTTACGTACTATTAATTAAAATAAACGAATAAATAATTAAAAATAAAAAAAAAGATTGAATTCTCCAAAAAATATTTTCTAAATTTAGAAAGTTGTTGATAAAAAAATAATTTAAATTATTAGAAAAGAAACAAAAAATTATTAATTGAATTATTTTTTACTAATTATTAATTAATTAATTAATTATATTAATTATTAATTAATTAAATTATTTATTAATTAATTACTTAATTAATTATTAATTAATTAGTTAGGTCAATTATTAATTAATTAATTATACCTTTTAATTATTAATTAATTAATTATACCTATTAATTATTAATTAATATGACAAATTACCAATAATTAATCAGTTAATTGATTAAAAAATTTAATTAAAATTAAAAAAATTAAATAAACCTGAAAAATTCCTACTGGAAGATTTATGCAAATTTTAAATAAAAAAATTTGATTTATATTTAAATATTTTGAAATATATTAATAATTGCTGTAATAATTTTATACCTAAATATTATAGTAAAATTATTAATATATAAAATAATTTTACATAATTTTTATAATATTATAAAAGACATTAATTTATTTGGTCGAGAAATTTTTTTTTTGCTTGGCATACAATTGGATCTATTTTATTTGACGTGAGTTGATAATAATATAATAGAAAAATAAAGTTATTTACACACTTTTGCAATATATACATATCTGCTGATAATTTTTTATACTAATAATAAAAAGACTATTTATACTAATTTTCTATTTAAACATTGTAAAATAATTTATAAAAAAATTTCTTTAAATTTAATTTTTACTTCATTTGAAAATAATCTTCAAATTTTGTAATTTATTAAATAATGCTGTAGTTATACACGTTAATCGTTAATTAGTATTTTTAAACATTAATTAGTATTTGTAATTGTTAATTAGTATTTTTCATCATTAATTACTTTTTTTACTCATTAATTAAAATTTTTCATCATTAATTACGGTTTTTAATGATTAATTAGTATTTTTAGTCATAAATTAGTATTTTTAGTCATAAATTAATATTTTTAATCGTTAATTAGTATTTATAATCTTTAATTAGTATTTTGAATCATAAATTACTATTTTTAATCGTTAATTAACATTTTTAATTATTAATTAGTTTTTGTAATTGTTAATTCATTTTTTTAATCATTACATAGTATTTTTAATCATAAATCAATAATTTTAATCGTTAATTAGCATTTTCAATCATTAAATTAGTAGTTTTAATAATTAATTAGTAGTTTTACTCATTAATTAGTATTTTTTATCATTTATTAGTATTTTTAATCATTAATTAGTATTTTTAGTCATAAATTAATATTTTTAATCGTTAATTAATAAATTTAATCATTAATTAGTATTTGTAATTTATTGTTAATTAGTAATTTAACTTTATTGTCAATTAATACTTTTAATCATTAATTAGTATTTTGAATCGTAAATGAATATTTTTATTCGTTAATTAATATTTTTAATAATTAATTAGTATTTGTTTTTAATCATTAATTAATATTTTATTAAATGTTAGTTAATATTGTTATCAGAATATTAACAATATTAATTGTTAACTTATTATTTTCGCCTAATTATCGTTATTGGCTGTTAATTAGCATAATTCGCAGCTAATTAATATAATTTGCTGCTTATTAAAATCGCTGGAATTTTGTTAATATAATTAGCAATTAATAAAAATCTTTGTAGACTAATTAGCATTCTTTAGTGATAAAATATACATAATTAGCGATAAATTATTATAATTAGCAATAAACTGTCAGAATTAGCGATTAATTTTCGTAATTAGCGATTAATTGTCATAATTAGCGAATTATTAACATAATTAGCGATTAATTATCATAATTAGCGATTAATTATCGTTACAGAATGAACCATTTTTGTTTTATTCATAATTTGTAACATTTTTCTTTTTTTTTTCTTTTTTGATATAATTTCTTCAATGTTTTTTCAATTTTTTGTTTATAATTGAATAATTATAATGACTTTTTTAATAATCCCCATGATAATTTTGCGAACGTTCGTAGCAATATTTCGTGTAACATTTGACATCATTTTTAAATAATCTCGATTTTCTTTCTGAAGATGTTGTTATTGAATCATCTGATAATATTTTACGTCGTCCAATTGGCTCGCTAATGAGATCGAGTGATTCCTCAAGAAATGACGAATAAATTTTATTATTATTATTATTGTTAGAATTATTTGTTGAAATTGAAAATTCCCTGTCTGAGAAATTATTTTTCTCATCACAATCCTCATCATTGTTTGTTTGTTTTTTATTATTGCTAATTATTTTTTTCGGTAAAGAATCTTCACTATTTTCATTTTCTTTTTCAATGAACCAAGAATTATTATTTTTATTTTTATTATTATTATTAATAAAATTCTTTGTTTTTCTTATTTCGTGTTGATTGGACGGAATATTTATTTTCTCAAAATCACTGGACCAAAAGTCAAATAATTCTTCATTTCTTTCTTCTTGTTCTTCTTGTTCGTGTTTTTCTCCACCGCCACGTTTACGATAATAGTCATTCGAAAAACGTTCTCTCGATTTTCTATTTTTTTCACTTGACGCGATGCTGGGTAATTTGATGTTTGAATTATTGCTCAAATTTTCAACAACAAGGTCATCATCGTTTTCGTTGATTTTCGTCGACTTTTTGTAATTTTCCGTCTGAAATTTTGAAATTTATTTTTCTCTCACACAAAAATGGTTATAGAATATTTTTAATTCACTTTAACTTTTATTTAATTATTAATATAATAATATAAATTAATTATTAATTATTATTATTATTAATTAAATACTGAATTAATTAATATTAATTAATTATTATTATCAAATATAATTCAAATTAATTTATTTTTTAAATTTAAAAACGAAAAGAAACCTGATAAGATTGGACAGTGTCTTGGGATTTTAATTTCCTTCTTCCACTTTTTTTGGTTGATGATGTTGATGATGATAATAATTTATCAGTAAAATTGAAATTTAAATCTGCATTATAATTATTTTTTTCATTGCTTCGAATAGTATTTTTGTGAATTTTACCACACGGTGAACATAAATTTTTTTGTTTTTTATCAATAATTTTCAGCTCTTTTTTGTCATTAATTTTAGAGGGTGATTTTTTATTCAATTGTGTCACTGATGATGATAATGTTGAGGATGATGATGTCATTTGGGTCAGTGTACTTTCTCTTGATGACAAATTATTATTATCGTTCCTTGAAAATAAAATAATAAAATTAATTAATATACAAATGAATGTGAAAAAAATGCTATTAGGAAGTAAACAAATAAGTAAATAAACAAATAAGTAAATAAATAAATGAGTAAATAAATAATTCAGTTTAAAAAATAAACAAATATTTAAAAAAAAATTAATAAATAAATAAACAAGTTAATAAATAGATGAATAAATATATAAATAAATTCTCGAATAGAAATAATTGAATTTCTGATGTCAGGAATTTTCAGAAAGAGAAAATATAACATTTTTCCTATTTTTTTTTTTTATAATAACGTTCAGTAATCTTTGCAAAAAAAATTGTCTTATTTGGTTAATGAGAGTTTTCTTATGAATACTTTGATAATTGTGAAATATCAGCATTATTTCCACTATCAGTATTATCCTCAGTGTGTTTTATTTCACAATCACATTGAACTTTATCGTCTAAGTCTTTTTTTTCATTTGTATCGTCATTAACCTTGACATGTTTTAAATTTTTCATGGAATTCACATCTTTTTTTAATTTATTTCGACTATTTTTTTGTTTCTCCTTTTTTCTTTCATTTTTTTTAATTGTCATTTTTGTACTATCATCACATTTCATTTGACATAATTTTCTCTCATTTTTCTTTTTTTCATTCTCCCCTTTTGATCCTGCGTGTAGGATTACAAAAAAATATTAATAATAGAGAAAATTATTTTTCCAATATTTTTATTTATTACCAACAAACTTCCAATAATAATCCAAATTTTTTTTCTATCAAAAATAATTTTATTCGTTTATTGCTTTTTATTTTACTAAAATATTATTTATAATAAAATTATCTCCAGGAATTCTATATGTAAATTCAAATAAAATTATTTATTTTTATTGAAATTAATTAATTTATTAATTAAATTTCAAATTAATTTATTTAAAAAAAAATTATTATTTTATTAAAAAATGAGAATGTGTAAAAAATGAAAAAACCATTTTTTTTTGGGAATAATTTGCAATGCGTAAAAAAAATTAAATAACGTACTGCTGTTTAGTTTTCGTTCTTGAGAAAAATTGTCATTGGATAAGTTTTTTTCATTCAAAACACGTAAATACGGACATGAACATTTGTAGCAAATTAATTTTTTCTCGTTTCCAAAATCAGTTTCAATTTGTTCACACTTTTTGCCATTTAATGCTTTTTTCAA